TTGACCAATGGGGATGAAAGGGTTTCTGTGGGATCATAACTGGCCCTTGATCCTTTTCCTGAACTGCATGCATTTTAACTGCATTGACTTAAGAATTTTAGAGTGAAAAAAATAATTTAAAGGCCATCATGATAAACTGTCCCATAACACAGAAATTCCTTGATGGACATTCTGAACATCTTGAACATCTATTGTCCCTTTGAAGAGCTCTAGTAATTAGGAACTTCCTTTCATAGTGTGGTAGAAAGATTATAAAACCTAGAGTCAGAGGAAATTGGATTATAATCTGGACTCATTTGTAGGATGATCTTGCAAAATGAGTAACATTGAGAGCCTTAGTTTCTTCACTTGTACAATAAAGACAATCCCTACCCTACTTTATTTGGCAATTTTATAGCTGAAAACATTTTCTAAACTATAAAGCACCATTATAGACAGTTGTGGCATAATTATGTTTATATATAACATATAAGTATATGTTATGTATAGTGCTATTAATATATAGAATATATAATGATTATAATATATGAAATATATAAACATTAATGTTTTATATAAAACATGAAAAATATACACAATAATATAATATATAATTATGATATAATATAATACATACTATTATAATATATTAAACTATTTAAATAAAAAATTACATATTTCCATATAATATAATTTTTATATTATATGTAGATATCACTTCACAGGGGAATCCCATTTCTTTAATGGTAGATTAATGTAATTATTCCAAAAGTATTTTTCTTTGAGGTCAAATTTGTTTCCCCATGGTATTTATATACTATTATGCCATTTACTCTTTGAAACACTGTAGAACTGGTCCAATATTTCTTCTGCATAATTACTATGTGTTAACCAAGAAAGCTAATAGGCTCAAACTTGATGTAAATTCAGGTTTATAATCTATGGAAGAATTTACTGACATCTGGAACTTTAGGAATACAGTTGGACCTCAAGTACAAAGTTTAAAAGTCACTTGAAATAAAGGAAACTGAGTTTGTATGCTTATGGGTCTTCTTTCCCATATGTAATTGAAGATTATATTTAATTTGATATTTCCCAGGCATCTTTAATTGTAAAGCAATGAGGTAGAAAATTATAGTTTTATGCAGCAAATTTATATACCGTCTTTAGGGGGCAGTACTAAACCACTGATAGATTTTGTTAGTTCTGCTAATGCTATTGGCAATGGCTAATATAAAAATTAAAATAACAATAATGAGATTTGCAATGCAATTATATACACCCCTTACTATTAGTAAAATTTTCTAAGTAGTCAAATGAAAATGATAGTTTGAAATTCATTCAATAATCCATTCAACAAATATTCAATTCTGTTATGTACATGTTGTAAGAGATACGAGTATGAATAGGCAATATTTGCTTTCAGATCACGTAACTAGGATAAGTAAGCAATACTTTGTGTGTGTGTGTGTGTGTGTGTGTGTGTGTGTGTGTGTGTGTCCATGCCTCTTTCAGGATAAAGATAATAATAAAAATAGCAATATTTATTGATTATTTTTTATGTGCCAATTACTCTCAAACAATTTTATCCTCATACAGCCATATCAAGTAGGAATGATTGTTATGTCTACTTTGCAGATAAGGAAACTGAGGATTAATTAGATTATGTGATTTGCTCAGTCACACAGTTTGCAAGTAGCAGAGCCAGAACTTAAATCACACTCAAAATGTAGGCTAATAAGTAGGAGAGTTGGAACCTGAATCCAGAACAAATTTTAGAATCTAAACTTTTAATCAGTAAATGTTATACAAGGGAGTAAGAAGGAAGACATGATTAAAAACATGGAGCACGATTAGGAAAGGTGAACAATTCCATTTGGGGTGAACAATTCCAAATGGGGTGAGTATAATAGAGTAAGAAAAAGGCTGAAAAATGGTTTGCCCAAAGAACCTTGAAGTTAGATTCACGAATCTGGATATTATTTGCTGTGCAGTGAGAAGTAATTGGTGATTTACAAGCACGGAAGTGACATACACGGAGTTTTTCTTTGGGGAGGAGAGTCAAAGGAAGAAAAGAACTGATTAATCTATGAAATGTTGATAATTCTCATCCAAGTACGTAATGATTTATAGTGCGATGTCAACCATGATGTGTCAAACCAATAACTGATCATGAGTTGGTGAAGAAGATGCCTATTTGATCATGCTATTCATTTTTGTAGATAGTATTGATCAAACATACAGATGCTCTTGCTAATAATATATATTAAGATTTTAGACATCCCAAGATTTTTTTCACCCAGATGATCTGTAGGATCAAAAGTCCCAGTGATTATCACCTTGTACTGATTTGAGAAATGTATGCTTATGAAAATTATTAGCTATGGACCAAACTACAGAAATTTTCACTGGCTATCACAGGTAGCAAAATGCTTTTGCTAGTATCATCATGTGGTAGAAATATATTAACAAATATATATTTTCATTTTAAACCACAGTTGGATTAGCTTGGTTGTTCAACACACACCTGTTACAGGTTATTGTGCTGAATGAGAGGCAATGTTACACAGTAATTAATGGGGTAAGCTCTCCACTCAGAAAGTCTGGGTTGGAATCCTTTCCCTGTCACTTACCAGCTCTGTAACCTTGGGTTTTACTTGACCTCTCTGTGCCTTAGTTTAGTATGTGCCTCAAGGGCTGGTTGTGTGAATTTAAATTATGAATTATAGTGCTCAGTAGATTGTAGCTATTATTATTATTATATCTTTAGACGTAAATGATTGGGGGACTGTTTAACTTCGTAGTTTCTTAGTTATTGGAAATTGATAAAGGGAGATTTAAGATATGAATGCTAAAAGCAGTCTTATAAAGTCTTACATTCTATTTCTAAAATCAAGTACTTTTTGGAGGAAGTGGGTGTTATTTACAATTCAACATGTAAAATATCTTTACTAACTTCAGTAATAAAGATCTATCAGTATGTGTTAAACACTACATTCTGAAGATTTTTAGACAAACCTACTGTCTTATTTTTTTCTAAAAAAATTCTCTCTGCTGAGCATTCAGTAGACTCTTTGAATATGGAATTTTTCTTTATTCTGGCAAAATTTCTTGCATTATTTCTTTGATAATTTCCTACCATCTTTACATCGACCTCTTAGTTTGTTCCCCTGGTTTTCTTAACTTGTAACTTCTTTTCACCTTCAGTTCTATGTTCTGGGAAGTTTCCTCAAACTTATTCTCCAACTCTTCTATTGGATTTAATATATTTATTTGTTTTGTAGTATTCTGTTCTTGTTTCAGGGATGCAAATATCTTCTTTCTCTCTGAGGATACTATTTATTTATAACTCTTTTTCTCTATATTTATTTTTGGTCTCTGTTAAAGGCTTCCTTCAAATATGGGGTGATCTTTGAGTTCTTGTCAAATTTAACTAAAAAATTAGAAACTGTATGTGGGTGGAGTTTGTTGAGAGTTGGGCTTCATAATAGGCGTTAAGATATAAACCCCCACCATTTTCCTAGGTCCTTATAGATCTTTTTCATTAGGAAGTTGATTTATGCAAAGAGGAATATTTCTAGTCTCCTACTTGGAGGATATAAACCTAGCTGCCATATTCTCTAAGGTAAATGTGGGAAGGTACTGGGGTGGGTTGAGAATCTTCATTTACTACATAGATATTCACTTAATTCCTTTGTTTTTAGAGAGATGCCCTTCTGCTCATTGTACACGGACTCTTAGAATTCATAGCCGCTTTGCTTCAACCTCGCAAGAGAGGAAACCTCCAGTTTCTTGTCAGGTGGTAAAGGTTTAGTGTCCTGGCTGGGTGATATAAAGGAGATGGGCTAGAGGCCTGTCTCTAATATATAGTTTCCATCTGGTTTTAGCCCCACTTGCACCTACACCTGCACAGGTCGTCAGTCTCTTCAATTGTTAAGTCCCTTGGAGGATGCTGAGTCATGAACAGGCCTGTTTCTTATTCTTCCCTCTTGTAGGCACTTTGATTTCAATTTTCTCAAATTTGCTAAATCAGGTAATTTCAACCCATCTGTTTATCATTATCTGCAAGCTTTCTTGACATTGCTCATCCACTAACATCTCTCCTATTTTTGTTGGCCTTATGGTTTCGACCATTTTTACAAACCGTTTGCTGTCATTTTAGTGGGGTTTTGGAAGTAGCAAAAGTAAATATGTATGTTCGACAAGGAAGTCCTATGATTATATATCAGGGGTAATACTTTTAAAATTATATATATATATATATATATATATATATATATAATTTTATGATTTTTTTTTTAAAGAAGACTACCTTTTTGGTGACATTGTGAAAACAATGGGCTTTTTAGCAATTTCTATTTTAATAAAGTATTTTCATGCTATTCTTCTGGTTGCATTTATAAATCATAAGATTTTTCTCATTTGTTGCTGTTCAACTATTTTCTTTAGTCAACTTTGTATCTCAGTCTTTCTCACGCATTGTTTTCACTTTCTATTTAAAATTGAATTACACAAGTTTTTTGGCTGATTCACATGGCAAAACCACATAACTATGGCTAGAATTAAGCTGACTTTTGCTTGCTAACATACACCATATGAAATTTATGCAATTTAATTGATGTTCAGATATGTAAATAACATTGATATAATATATTGGTATAATATAAATTTAATTTCAGAGAACTTCATCTACAATAAATTTGTCACCAGGAGAAGTGGAAGAAGAAGATGATGATGAAAACACATGTGGGCCCTCAGGACTCTGGGAAGCATTAACTCCTTGTAATGGATGTAGGAACCTTGGCTTCCCTATTCTTGCACAGGTAATGGTTTGCTTTTCTTAAGGTACAATAAAACATAAAAATGGTTGCCTAAGTTTTTAAGTAAATTCCCCCCCCCACCCTGAAAATCTAATTAGTATCTTGTTTATTTTGTGATTTTTCTTCAGTTAAGGTCAGTAACATATTGATATGACTTGCTGTACATATATGCTTAAGCAAACACATACTTTACGTAATTTTACTTGGTTGTTTTAGTTTGGTCATGATGCTAGTTACAGAAATATTGACCTGTTAATGAGGTTTTAATATTTGTGATCCCAAAATATTTTATTTTAAAGAATACTATTTTGAAATTAAATCACAATTCATATTAAAATAATAATAAATGGTTTATAAAGAAACATAATAGGGCTCTTTAAAAGCATAGTTAGTGATTTTTTTTCTTAGCACAGTGGAACATAGTAGAATAATGTGTGCCATTGAGGGTTATACAGTACAATCCAAAAAGGAGACCAGAACACTAAAACTTTGACCACAATTTTGAAACCATTTCACTACTCATTGTCAATTTTATTTCTATTGTATCATCTTCATTTCTTGTTGTGTGCTATGGACAACAAGCCCTTAAAGAAGTTTCAGAAATAAGTAAAATAAGCCAAACAGAGAAAATTTGAAGCTGTAATGATATTTCTACGCAAACATGAAAAAGCACTTAATATAAAAAAAAAATGTAATAGCAAAGGTATTTATGTGTCACTCCATCGAGCATGGGTGGAAAAAAACAGTGTAGGACAGGAAATCATTCACAGTAATTGTCTGGAATAGTGTTGTATCTCAAAAAATATTAGTTTCTGTTTTGCAACAAATGTGAAGCAATTGTGTCTGAGAAACCATTTTTCATGTCTATGTCACAATTTGGTCATAGCCACTCAAATTCTTATATGAATTTATTGTGGAGAAGTAAATAGGATAATCAAATCAGCATATAGTACTTAAAGAATCGCTTCACCTTAATATGAACTATTTATATGACTTTAAGACAATTTATCTTAACCATTACTCAACTGTGAGTTTCATAAAGGTAGAGTATGTATTGCTCATCATCTATGGCCTAAGGCCAACATAGATCCAGGTATATTGTCAGAATTCAGTAGTAGTTGAATGAATCAGTGAACAAATGTATATATTTTATGGTTTCATTTCTTCACTTAACAGTGGTTTTTACATATGGCATTTTACCTCAAGCATATAGGAGAAAGGAAATTAAGAAACATTTGTTTTATTTTGGTAATATTCCCTCATCTGCTTAACAGTTTACCAATAATTGAATGCTTTTATCTATATTTTTTGTTTCAAAAATTAACATCTTTGTATTTTATATTTTTAAAAATATGATTCTTGGAAAGTGTTAGGGATCTAAGCCATCAATAATATGTGACTATGTTATTCTCTACCACTTCACTAACATTTACTTTTTTGAAAAACTTTATTTATTAGACTTAGCAGTAGGATTTGTAGTAACTTGCTTTTGGTTTAAAATTTTTAAATAATATTAGATATTTTTCTTTGGCTATTTTTCTGTGAAGATTGGTATTGCTTCAATAAATATTGAATGTTAATATTTTAGTTACATTTAAAATGTACTATGTACATTTTAGTTACATTTGCTACAAAATGCTTCCCAGTCTGCAGCTTTTTTTCTCTGAATTTGTATGTGTGTATGAGTGTATGTCATGTAATTTTTTTTAAACTATCAAATTCATTAACCATCTTAGTCTTATTTTTGTTTAATTCACATCATCTAGAATTCCTTTTAACAAATTCCAAATATGGCTATATATATATTTTTTATTTGTTGATATCTAGTTTTTTAATGACTTTCCATTGGACAATACTAACACATTATACATTATATTTCATCCTGTTTGGTTTGTATTTTCTTCTGAAATCTCTTATTTCCATTTTCCTATTTTTAAGACCATATAACTCAGTTTTGATATTTTTATATAAAATATGTGGAAGAAATCATTATTGCATTAAAATTATTAGCTAACATGATTGCTTGCTTTTAAAAATTTTATATTTTATAATTGTCAAGTTTTAAAAGAATTCTTTTTGGGATTGTTACTGCATTAGATCTATAAATTTACTTGAGATGCAGTATACTTTTAAAAAAATTAATTGATTAATAAATTAATTTGTTTGTTTGTTTTTTTGGCTGAGCCATCCTGCCACCTGTTGGTAGCTCAGCGGCAGCTCAGCAGCAGCTCAGCTTGGGCCAGGAATTGAACTGCTGTTGCTCAGAGCTCAAGTGAGCTCTTAACCAGCTGAGCCACTCGGCTGGCCCCTTTTTTATTTTTTTACTGTATTTAATCTAATAAATCAAGATTGGAATCCTTTTACCATTGTTCTCACCTAGTCATCTTTTACAAATGTTCTCAATTTGTTGAAGGACTCGCCTTTAAAATTTATTTGCATATATATATATATATATATATATGCATATATATATATATATATATATATATACACACACACAAAATAAAATTGTTTAATGTGTGATGGTACAAAACTATAAAAATAATTTTACATTTTATAATTGAATTTATGCACAAAAGTTGATTCCTTTAATACAGTTTAATACAGTTGTTATGAGCTGGAGGTATTATATCAAATGTAGCTTTATCTCACAACTTGCAACAGCTTTGAACTCAGGATTTTCTAGGCATATAATTTTATTTATGATATTTTAAGAAAACTTTTTATTTTGAAGCCTCTTGTTTTTCGGATCTGAAATATTTTGGGAGTCTATTAAAAATCATTAAGCTATAAACACTATGTATGTAGGCCTTCATTAAAAAAAAAACAACGCTACCTCACAGTTTGGTACAGGAGACTTTGATATCAGTAGAATTAGTGCAGAGCTATGCAAATTTCTATATGCCCAGATTTGTTGGTTTGGAATATATTATATTTATTTCACATTTATAACCCTTAACTTACTTGGATCCAGCAAGCATGTATCACATTTCTTCTATATTCAAAGCATAGTGCTAAGCTTCAGAAATATGAGGATTCTGGAAATACAGACTTAATTGGGAGCCAGGTTACCTATACATTCCGGTCCTGGGTCATAAAAATATGTGATGTATCACTTTTAAACTCTTAAGTAGATTTTTTACTTAGAAAATTATCTTATACTGCAAAATTATCTTATACTTCTAAGATTAACTTGCAGTTTTTGTCTAGATTTTTAATTGATCTTATATTCAGGTTTTATCTAACCTTTTGTGTTTTTCTAGTTTTTCTATGGCATTTTATCTTTTCAGTGTGATTACATTATTGAAGCTTTTATAAGAAGCAATTTTTTCAAATTAAAATTTAGAATTTAAATACATACCATGTTTCCCCGAAAATAAGACCAGGTCTTATATTAATTTTTGCTCCAGCAATCTACATTTATTTATTTATTCATGTACAGAAATCTACATTTATTCAAACAGTCATGTCTGGCTGATGATCTTAACTGGGGCTTTTGTTTGGGGTAGGGCTTATATTACAAGCATCCTGAAAAATCATGCTAGGGCTTATTTTCCAGTTAGGTCTTATTTTTGGGGAAACATGGCTAACATCAGGGGATTATAAAGGTTTATATAATATGTTGGGTACTTTAGTATAATTTCAAAGCAGTTAAATAAAATTTAAGTTGGGCAAAGAATTAGAAGAGAAATCAGGAATGAAAAGATTGGGAAAATGAAGCCCTTTCTAGAAAGTATAATTAAACTCAAATTTGTTTTTCAACATTATTGTCAATAATAATCACTATCATTTATACAGTGCCTACTAAGTGCCAGATATTTCACACATATCATCTTTAATTCTTAAAATAACTATTTAAAGAAGGAGCAGGTAACCTACTCAAGGTCCTAGTTAGCGTTAAAATTGGTACCAACTATGTCATATTGCTTTCCCAGCTTCATTTATATCCCCTGCTTCCTATTGGTTGCTTCTGTCCCTGGTATATATCTTAGAAATTTTGGAATTTTCTTTGACTAATAAATGTAGATCATAAATGGACAACGATCTTTGAGTGCAATCTTTAACATTTTATTCTTGTCATCTCTTCATTTAATCACAAATATCAAGTTAAGGGAAAGTTAAAGATAGTTCAGAGCCTAATATTCAATTGCCATTAGTTTTATGACTGCCCTTTCCTGTTAATAGAGCATTATGTTATTAGAGCAGGGAATCTGAGTTGAATTTTATTATGGTAGATGACATTGCTTTCCTACAGTCTTGAATGAGATGTCTGCTTTGCCCCATGGGCACTACGAAGGTGCGAGGCTGTTCTCTGAAGAGTATGTCCTGCTGGGTGGAGACCCTCCCGCTTTCATCCTGTTCCCTCACATGCAGCCTTCACTCTGCAAGGTTGAGCTAAGGGGTCCCGATTACTGAGGCTTTAGCTGTTATTGCAACAGGCCTGTCAGTAGTCTCTGCTCCTGCATTCGCCATACTCCTGCTGCCTCCTGGGGAGAAGCCAGCAGCTCTTACTAATGTGCTGGAAGTACCCGCTGAGGACTTGCAACCCTTCTAACAACAGTATTAAAACACATTGAAAGCACCCACTTTGGCCATGCTGGCTGCGCTTCTTCCTGGTCAGTGAAGGCTGCTCCTGCTAGTGTTTGTTTCTCTTCCAAGTCTGCAGCCACGTGCATGGCACCTGCGGTCGTGCCTATTGTCACCGCTGCTGCTGCCGCCACACCTTTTGGATCAGGCACTGTGGGCTTTGTGACTGAAGTATGTGAACTCTTGAATATGGTACATGTGGGAGCCATGTTGAATTCATTCCTCCCCAACGTCAACGTAATAGGTGGCCCCAGATATGTCAGGGTTCATGTGAAAGTTCCTGATGCTGACTTGATCTTGCGCTATTCCATAGAAATGAAAGGCGTTTTCCTAGGAGGAAGACAACATAAGTGAACTAAGAAAGCGAGACCAGAAAGGTCTGCTCCCTTCCATACCTATAGCTAAACAAGGGCTGATAAGAAGAAATTGAGGTCTCAAGTCCAAGCTCTCGTTTAATGCAGAAACCCCCTCTATAGTGTTTCCACAATGACCACAATGATCATTCCAGTTTTGCTTGAGCAGTTCCAGTGCCAGAGAGTGCCCAATCATAACTCATCATTGAATATCCTCATACACTTTTAAAAATATACTTGTGTTAGTGCTTCTGCTGGTAAAGCAGTATGCACTTTAATGCTTGATAGCTACTAACAAATTGTGTACATGCATACAAGCACATTGCACGGCCACTGACACATACAAAACTCAGTACATGGCAGTCATGGAGAGACGTTATGTCCCACAACATAGCCTACCCAGGTCGGAAGAGTCTATGTTTAAGAATCAGGGGCCAGCCGAGTGGCTCAGTTGGTTAAGAGCTCTCTCAAGAGTTTGAGCTCTGAGCAACAGCATTTCGATTGCCGGCCCGAGCTGAGCAGCCACTGGGCTGCCAACAGGTGGCAAGATGGCTCAGCTTAAAAAAAAAAAATCAATTGGATGATCACGATGCTGCAGAGGCAATTCAATATTGATATGAAATGAATTGCTAACAGCTAAGGCACATCTGAAATACAGCCTGGGGAACACTTGGAAGAAGCACTGGAATCTCCCCAATGTGGTATGGCCGCCCAGTGGAGGCTCATTTGGCCCTGAGCACCTCTAAATGCTATGCAATTTTAGGTGAGCCTCAGTACCAAAAGCTCTGCAGGACATTTGCTGCTCTTCCAAACCCCCCTGACTCCATCTTCTGGAGACCCTGCAAAGACTTACCTCTGGGCTCTTGTCTTCTTCCCCAAACCCAGTTATGTCCAGTGTGTCCCCAACTGGAATGGCCCAGGCACCACTGCAAGCATCCACCAGTGGTCTCAGGATGTAAATGAGGTTTTCCCAGTGAAAAAAAAAGATCTCTTGTATCTGAACGGGAACACAGCTGAAGGTAAAAAGAGTGGCCAGTGGCAAGCTTCAGGTGGAGCAGTTGTTTCATACTGTTGTGGATGCATATCTTTACAAACTTCAAAGGAAGCAGCCTGGTTAGCTCTAAGACCTGTGTAGGCTTGTTGCCTGTTTCCTGGGTAGCAGGGCCATATCTGTTATAGCCATCAGAGACAGCAGCTGGTTGGGCCAGCAGCATGACACCAGGCAGTGTGAGGTGGGGGCTGGTGTGCACGAAGCCCACTGTCACCATTCGGGCACGGTGGTGCACGTCCAACACTTCTCCTCTTTGGCTGACCTGAATCAAGTCGCTCTCAAACATTGGTGCATACTTGAATATAGTATACGCCCCCTTGTACAGCTGTCGCTGCAGTTTCCCCATGGAGGTGCTGAACGTGCCCATGGCAGGGCTGCTTTTGGCTGTGTAATACGGTAACACAGACTGGCCATCCATGACTCTCTTTTATCAAGGCAGCTCCTAGGGGCTCCTCCACACATTGCTTACCACGCCTTACAAAGCATCCTGTTCCCCAGATCACTCCAGCAGGTGGTCTTCTGCCGGCTTTTTTGTCTCCTAGGGGCTCCTCCACACATTGCTTACCAGCCTTACAAAGCATCCTGTTCCCCAGATCACTCCAGCAGGTGGTCTTCTGCCGGCTTTTTTGTCTCTGAGTGGCTGAGGACAGGGTGGGGGCGTTGATTACCAACTGCTAGGTGTTAAGAGACAATTGCTCCTGGACCAGACTGTGCCCTGACTAAAACATGGAGCTGTCAGGGTGTGCAGGTACATGTGGACCCCAGTAGATGTCAGGGTACACAGAAGTCCAGGTGCACAGATACTGCTGTTATCTCGGGGGACACTTCCTTTTGACCCAGACACATCGGTTCACGACAGCCCCTTCTTTTTGATTCAGCAACTCCAAATCCCATTGCTTGTCTCTTCTGGAAATCGAAGCCTCCACCTAGGCCTAAACCACCCTGCGGGACAGCTTTTATCCTCTCCTGCCCATTGTGACCTGTTCCCATTACACACCCCTTTGCCTCTGTTGCTCAACAGCCCCTCCCTCAGAGCAGGGACACTGTCCCTTCCACTTCACCCACCTCCCTCACCACACCGCTCTGCCTGCCACAGCTCAGCAGACCACCCTTCCTCCTAGGGCCCTCGTCTAAAAATCTTAACACATACTGGCAAATTGCTTTCAACAAGGGTTAGGCAAATTTTGTGTTAGGTATGCTTTACACATACTCTCTTATCCATCACTTCTAACTGTAAACAATTAGAATTAATTGTAGACCATTTACCTTAAAATAGAGAAGTGGACAAGTTGGTAATCAGGTTAGTACAGGATGTTTATCAAAGTTTATTGTATCAAAAAAGACAATAACCAAAAATAATATCTTACAATATGGGTTTGGTTAAATAAATTATAGAGCTTCCTATGATAGAATATTCTGTGTCTCTAAAAATGATTATATAGCTCATATTTATTGAAATGAAAAGGTATCCCTGACTTTTAAAGAAGAGGAGCAGTTTCAAACTAGCATTATATGCAGGGTCCGATTTCTGTAACATCATCTGTGTGTGTGTTTGGGTTGGAAAGTGTGTTCAGTGAAATGTTTAAAGTGCTTATCTGGATGTTGTAATTCTAATTTTCTTCTTTATACTTTGTATTTTTATTAGGATAGTTATTATTTCTATTAACAGGAATAATAAAGCTATTTTTATTAGCAATGTCTATTTTTAGTCATGATAGTTTTTACATTTTGACACCCTCAAATTGCTGCTGAGATTTTGAACCTTTTCCCTCGACATCACTCTGCAGTGAAAAGAGCCTCAAACATCACATTTCTTATACTCTATTCTTTACCCACTACCAGATTGTATGTAAAAAAGTCTGAGAAATTTTGCCAATTATGATAAATGATATCAATTCAATAAAATTAAAATATCTTTATTGGCACAATATACCCAACACACACACACACACACACACACACACACACACACACACACACAGCCCTAGCTTTTGAGTCTTCAGTTTGTTCTATAGGTCAAAACAGACATTTTTCTTCTCTTTATATTGAAATATCTGGTTATTTATGATAATATGAGTATTTTTTCTTTATTTATTGAAAAACGTATTCACCTAACAATAGCAATTCTTACTGGCTTGTTCAAAGTCCTTATATCTTAATTTCTACTTTATGTCTGTATTACTTATAATTAGCAAAAAGTTAGATTTTAATCAAACTAATATTTTAAAGGTATCCACATGGTTTGGTGTTTTTTGAAAGGAGTAGGTAGCATGGACACAGTATAATTTAATTTAGGTGCTTTTAAAAAAATAAAATGGAAATATATTAATACCAATTTTTAAAAAATCACTTTTATGCTATGCACATTTATTACCAGATATTTGTCTTAGGGTTCCATTAGAGCACTGAGTTAATTGCCTTGTCTCCAGGGAAACCAGAAACTATATTACTTGTAGGGCCTATGGATTTTCAGAATTTTTTTCCAATCTAATTGTTAGACCAACAGTAGCAGAACCACTGTGATTTGGCCTGATAACCATTATGTATAGCATTCTGGCAAATATGTCTCTATTTTCATGAATTTGATGAATTTTACCTGAAATTCCTCTACTGTTGGGTTGTCAGAAAAATCATGATGTAATTTTTTTATGTTTTTTGTTGCAAAAATGTGTCATGACTTTTCCAACAACCCGTTATTTAGAAAGCTGTCTTATTAGTATTTGCCTCAATGTTTAAGAAGCCCAGATGTCTAAACAAAAATCTACCTAAACCTGAGATTAAGAAATTCTTATTATGTAAATGCTGCAGCTTTCTGTATGTTTGCCCTTAGAACAGATTTCCATATAAAAAATTAATCATTAGATATTCTTAAAATAAATTTATGCTCCCTCTCCTCTACATTAAAGTTTATGTCATTGGGTAAATCTCTTAATCTCACTGGGCCTTATTTTCATCATCATTGACATTCAGATGATCCTTTGGGTGTATCTTTCAACTCCAGAATAGTTATGGTTCTGTGATAGGGGGTTAATTTTTTTCTTCTCTGTAATAAAACTTTTACATACTTTGGAAATAACTCCAAATAATAATAATGAGTCAAGGAATTATTCAGATATTATCAGCCCTGGGAATTGTGATTCAATACATAGTATCATTTTGTTGCTGAATTTCTTCTTGCTAAAACTTTTTTAAAGAGCCAACATTTGAAATGTAGAAATGACAAAAATGATAGTTCAGTAAGCTGTGCAGGCAGTGGGGGCAGTGCTTAAAACTATGTAATTGAAAATGTGGGTTAAACATTTTAAACAGAATTCAATTAATAATGAACACATGGTGGGCAGATGAACTCCCCCAAAGAGATCCACATCCTCATCTTTACAACCTGTGAATACGTGACCTTACCTGGCAAAAGGGCCTTTGCAGGTGTAATTACGTTAAGGATCCTGAGATGGGGAGAGAGTCCGGATGGTCCAGGTGGGCCCAGTCTAGTCATTGTGGTTCTTATAAGAGAAAGGCAGGAGGGTCAGAGTCAGAAAACGTAGTGTGATGTTGGAAGCAGAGGTTGAAGTGATGCCTCCATGAAGCAAGGAATGAAGTTAGCTGAAAAACAAGGAATGGATTCTTCCCTAGGACCTGCTGAAAGAGCCAGCCCTGCCAACACTTTGATTTTAGCCCACTGAGAATCACTTTGAACTTTTGACAGGCAGAACCATAAGAGAATAAATTTGTGTTGTTTTAAGATACCAAATTTGTGGTAATTTGTCACAGCAGCCCTGGGAACTATACAGATGTTGGTACCTGGAAGTGGGATGCTGCTGTAACAAACACGTTAAAATGTGTAAGTGGCTTTGGGGTTGGGCAGTGGGTAGAGGCTGGAAGAAGAACCTTCAATAGCATGATAGAAAAAACCTAGACTGCCTTGAACAGAAATATGAATCTTCAAGATTCTGCCAGTGAGGGCTCAAAAGGAAGTGATATGGTAGAGAAAACCTATATTATCTTAGAGAATACCTAAATCATCATAGATAGAATGTTGGTAGACATATGAATGTTCAAGATGCTTCTGGTAAGGACGGAGAAGGAGAAGAGGAACATGTTATTGAGAACTGGAGGAGAGGAGATGCTTGTTACGTAGCAGCAGAAAGTCTAGCAGCATTCAGTTCTATAATTATGTGGAAAGCAGGACTAGTAAGTGAGGAACTTGGGTATTTAGCTCAGATTTCCAAGCACAGTTTTGAAGGTGTGGCCTGGTTCCTTTTGTTGTCTATAGCAAAATGTGAGGAGAAAGAGATATATTGAATGAAGCACTTTTAAGCAAAGAGGAACCAGAACTCGATGACTTTGGATTTTTTCAGCCTATCTAGATTGAAAAAAAAGATACTAAAATGTGAGAATCACTGTCAAAGTGTGTTCTGGAGAGAAAGAGAGAAGTGTGGCTGGACAACTTTTTTCTAGTGCCTGAGTAGAATCAAAATATCAGGTTATTCAACCACTTGGAAAGCTTTTTGAAGAGATGAGGTATGTCTCCTAGACCTCCTCATTCATTTTGGCACACTTGAGAGATGGGATTAACCAAGATAAACCTGTGGGGGAGCCTCTTGCTTAATGGAATGAATTCCCTAGACACACATGGAATACCCACACAGTTTTGCAGTTTTGTATATTAGCAGAGACATTGCCAGTTTGGACTGAAAGGAACAGGAAAAAGACAAAAGAAGACTCTTAGCTTCCTAAAGGAATGGACTCTTACAGGCAAACACACTTATGAAACGACTCAGTTGTGAACATATGCAAACCTTTTATGAAACAGGAAGCAAGACTCAGAGGACATGGTTTGAGGGCCCAGAGGGTGGAGTGAGAACTACAAAGGGCTATTGTAGGCCTGAAACCTAGTGGGGTTTGGCCAGCTGGTTTTCTAAATTGCTTATGTTTGTTGACTCACTTTCTTCCTTTTATTTCTCCCTATTTGAATGGTAATATCTACAATTGTTATTCTCAGCTTACCATTGTGTTTTGGGAGCAGATAACTTGTTTTCTAGTTTCAAAGACCCATAGATGGAGAGGAATTTAGTCTCAGGATGAATTATACCTAGAGTTTCACCTATGCCTGATTTAGATGATGAGATTTTAGACTTTTGAGCTGATGAAATCTAGATGAAAGTTTGAGTTCAAGTTGATGTTGTAATAGGTTAACACTGGGGTGATGTTGAGCTGAGGTGAATGGATTTCACATGTGGATGGATATGAATCTTTGGGGAATAGAGGATGGACCATGAGAGACAGAGTAATGCCTCCCTGCCTCCATATATAGCCAGTGTTCTAATCTCTCAAACCTGTGAATATGTTAACTTATATGGCAGATGGGGCTTAACAAATGTGATTAAGGATCTTGAGATGGAGCGATTATCCTGGATTGCC